TTCAGGGAACTGACAGATTTGGGCGAGCTGACGTGGGGCGGAAGTTACAAGTTTCCCTTCCAACCTCGTGCGCTAAGGTTTGATGCGTGAGGTCTTGCCCAACTTCGAGGCCCCCATACTTGCCTTTTCGTAGGGCTGATTGCGACCGATTATCAACTTTTGCAGGCAATCTGGCTACGTGTACCATCCCTCTCCACCACGGCCGCAATCACGCACAGCCGCAGACAGAGCAAAGCGCAGCAGGTCAAGCTCGGGGCAGGCCTTGAAAGCGAGCGATGCTGCGAGTCCATACGGCGCATATTCTTTACTGTGCTCCAATCTCGTGCTGTCGAGGCTATCAGATGGACTGGATCTGGATATCACCGGAGAGCCGCAGTCTGCGAAGAGCAACAAAGACGCACCTGGTGGCTCAATCGAGTATCAGGGAAAAAGGTACCCTATAAGGCTCTTGAGACCGCAAGATGCTGGTCCTTGGAGCGCTTTGCGCCCATCGACTCGACCGTGATGCTGACATTACGCTCTCGGCGCGTCACGCTCCGCTATTGGATAGTATTGCAAATGCATGGCGATAAAATGTGATGTCGCGTGTGCAGGGCGAGTGCGAGGAAGCGACTGGGCGGTAATCTGGGGCATGTAGTAGAGAAGGCGAGAGTTGACAATTCATCGATGAAAGGCTTCCGCTGGGATGCTTCCAGCATTTCTCAGCTGCTCAAAGTTTATTATGGCCTGGCTGGGCTCCCAAGCGTTCTGAGAGAGACACTGAACAGCGAAAGGATAAGTCAGGCCCGTCTGGGCGGCCACTTGCAAGGATAAGATGTGTTGCTGCTCGTTCTGAGGTGCAGCGATGCAAACAGGTCAGAAGTGGCATGCGCACCTTCATGAGAAGCAATACTCACAAGACCTTGTGCGGGCGCAACACTTTTGAGGTGCGGTGGAAGGGCTTCGAGGGAGAATCCAGGGTTTGTCGCAGTGCTAGGCCCAGATACAGCAGCTGGCGCTGGCGCAGCGCTGTTGTTGCCGGGCTGAGCGGTGCCAGTCGGCAAGGCATTGTCGGCCCAGGCGTGAATTCCAGCATATGGCCTGACGATCAGTTGATCCTCTATAACGATGCAGGGCCATCCCGAATTGGCAGCTTGCGACCCAGGTACGACGGGCGCGACGATGAAAGACCTGCTAAAAGACCTGAAGCCCTGAGAGGGAGCTTCTTGAAATTG